CCAACGAACCCCCCCCCCCCCCCCCCCCCCCCGTGCGCGCGTCGCCACAGGTGGCCATCCTCGTGCTAGAGCTGCGGCAGAGGGGCGTCTGCTCCCTCCCGGCCCTGCTGCGGGAGTGGCAGAGAGACCCGACTTACCTCAAGGGCGCCGTCGAGATGTGGGTCAAGCTGGGCTCCAGGCAGGGCTTCGAGAAGGCATGGCCGACCGCGATAAGGACGGCCGTGGCAGTCGTGGGCGGCGCCTCCGGCGCTGCGGGCGGGCGCCGGCGCGGGGTTGTTGCTGACGTCTCCGCCGCCGCGGCCCCCCGGTCGATGGAGGAGAAAATCGGAGCGCCCCCGCTTAAAAGGACGAAAGCCTGATGCGGTTCTGGGTGTAGAAACCCGAATGCTTGGCCAATGACCCCGGTCCCTGACGACGACTATCGGAGGTGAAGCAGGGGATGAGACCCCTTTCTTGTGTTGGGTTCCAAGCGATTTGCAAGTTGTTCCCGCTGGCGTTGTGGCGCCGTGCATCCGATGGAACGTCGTTTGTAACCGTTCTTATGCGTACGTCTGAGACTTGCTGACGGATTGGGCGAGTTTTGTACGGTGGAGAAGGGGATATATCCTGTTTTCGACGTTTGTAGGAAGAGTCTCGGCACTTTTGTTCTTCCTGTGTTTCTCTTGTTTTTTCTGGTGTCACTCGTTTTTAACGTTTTGCTTCGATATTCGTTGCCCCCGTTTGTGTCTGCCTTGTGTTACTCTCACAGCGAAAGCTCCCGGTGCGTGTTGTTGGCCGGTGCCAGTGTAGTCCTGTCGTCGTGTTTCTCTAGCCTGATCTGCGTTCATTTGTTGCTCGCTTTCAATGACGAAAATCAGTTGTTCGACTAGCTTGTTGCTGTTGTTGTCTTAACATCAAAACCCGTAACCCGTTCCGGTCTCTGCTCAGCTTCTCCTGGTACCCCCTTGTGTCTAACTGAACTGGTGATCTTTCACGGGTTTGGAGGAGGCTTTGACATGGGCACCAAAGACGTGGTTTAACACGGAAGAAAGCATACCCACAAAAAAGATGCCGTTTCGCAGTGCCGTTCTGCAGCCCCTGGTTCCAGCAGCTGCTGCTGCACCCAAAAAAACACGACGAAACGATAGAAGGTATCGGAAAGACTGATTTATTACCCCGGCGAACATTGGCGCGCCTCACGCCAACTCCATCCGCGATATCGCGGCGGTGACCTCCCCCGCCAACACATACCCCCCGCCCAGCTGCCTGCGCGGTTGCAGTCGCCCCGTCATCTCCTCGCACGATGTGCAAACCGCAAACCCCGGCGTCGAACTACATACCACAACCCTTTGTCATCATCGTCGTCACAATATGGACATGACTACCGGGTCCGCCGTCGCCACCTTCTTCCCCTTGAGCCCGTCCACGAACGCGCCCACCTCCGACCGCAGGCAAGGATTGGTCTTGACCACCAAGCTAACCACGCCCGCCTTCTCTTCCCCACCCCCGCCCCCTTCTCCGCCGCGAAGCACGGAGTGCACAGAAACCCCAGCCTCGGCGGCGATCGCGCCGACGGTCGAGAGCACGCCAAGGCCGTCCGCCGCCGTCACCCGCACGTAAAAACACGCCTCGAAGTCGGGCTCCAACTCCAACGGCCGCTCCAGCGGGAACGGGGGCGGGGTGCCCGCCGCCCCTAGTCGCGCGAGGCGGACGATGTCGTTCACCACCGAGTTTGCGGTGGGGAACCGTCCAGCCCCTGGCCCGGCGTAGACGCTCTCGGCTTTTTTTTGCAGGAGCGGTGCCGGAAAAAGGGACAGGCAGAGGGCGTGGATGTTGATGATGGGATCACATTTTTCTGTGCTGCTGCTGTGCAGCCAGAGGGAAAGCGGATGGTGATGGAATCACATGCTCTCTTGGTGCTGTTCAACCATAAGTAGACAGGGAGCGAGGGGGAATGGATGGTGATGAAATCACATCTTCTGTTGGCTGTGCAGCCAGAAGTGGACAGGGAAGTCGATGGTGATGATATCACACTTCTCTTGGTGCTTTGCAGCCAGAGGTAAGACAGGGAGGCACGCAAATGGATGATGCAAGCACCCTCTCTGCTGGTGTGCAACCTGAAGTAGACAGGGGGGGCGAAGGGAACTGGGCGGTGATGAAACCACACTCTCCGCTTTGCAACCAGAAGTAGAAGTAGACAGGGGACGAAGGGATGAGGGTGAAGATGGAATCACGCTCTTCTGTTAAAAGTACAACGTGGTTCAAGGCTACGGAAGAGAGACACAAGAACGGCACCGCTTGTCTTAAAATGGCAACTGCTGCTGTGCCTGGCCTTCCTGCGTTTCATCATGTCCCGGCTAACATCCAAGCGACAACACAACGGCGCTGGGGTGGAAATTGACACCAACATACAAAAACACCCCTTCCCTGGCGATCTAACGCGAGCAGCTTCTTTGAAATCGAGCCCGCAATCCCGAATCTTGTCGCAAGTGCGTGCATCCCAACGCCATCGAGGGTCCTCGACTGTTCGCACCCCCCCGAAACGGAATGCGATAGGCCGTCCTTTTGAGTCCCTGTCCGCCGCAAATGACTGCGCAGCAGCGTAAGGCGAGATCGCCGACGAAATCAAGCCCGTAGTGCGACTACTATCCACCACCCTTGACTCACTGAGGTTCTCGGAGCGTACCACGACGACATTCCCCGGGCCTCGTGTAGAGGCAAGCGGTCCACCTAGCGGCACAAGCACCTGTGGCGGAACGCGTTGAAGGTGGGTGTCAAACGTTTTGCGCATGCATGAACGAAAAGTTGAAGGCAACAACACTATTAACATGCATGCACACAAGAAACGCAAACGCGTGAGGGGTGCTTTCTACCGCATCTGTGCAGGAACAACGTGCTGGCGGCAAGAGAGCCAGGAAAACAAGGCCATGCTCTCGAGGGACGTCGCCTCACATGACGCTCGTTCGACAATATGTAAGCCAGAACGAACGCGCATGGCGGCAGCAAGGGCCAGCGGGGCAGCTTTCACCACCGCTGCTGCAATAGACCATGTACAAACCTCGCACTTGCTAAACCTCTCGAGCTCTGTACCGGCGCGTACTCGAGACAAGGACGTGAACAAACATAGGTAAGTAGTCGACATCCACTCTTGTGGGGTGCAGTACCTGGAATTGGTACGTCCAACGGAAAGGCGGATTGTTGTATATTTGATCGTGTCCCCACACGAGAAACACCGTTCGTTCTGAACCTTATCCGGTACAGTCCCGCTTTAAACGAAATAATTGTCCCGTGGTCAACAGCTCGGAATAACACACACACGGAGCTATTCCCGACAAAAAACGAAAATCGGAAAACAGAAAATAGGTTGTTGGACCAGGCCCACACACGAAGATGAGGTATACACACAGACCCACCGGAGACACGTAGACGGCCAGCTTGTCCTTGCTCTCGCCCAGTGCGGCGGTTCCGACCAGCTTGATCGTACACCCCATCATCTGGTGTGTTTCGATATGAGTGTACACGCAAGGTGAACAGGGTGAATAAGAGGGAGACAGAGGGCACCACTCACCGTCGAGTTTTCATTTCTGCGGCGGGGGGAAGGGGGCATGACATGTGCCGGTGTAAATCACACACGCATCATCATCTCATTCCACAAAGTATTGTAGCAGAGGTTTCCTAAGTGCGAGGCATTCCTGAAGCCTACGCCCATGGGCACCATCAAGCACTCGACGTTTTGTCGTGCGCGCATGCTGTTTGGAGTACTGGTTTACAAGATCCGATCTGGAGAGCATGTGTACG